TCACATAAATCACCATTAACACATTTAACCACATAACAGTTCACATATATCACCATTAACCCATATAACCACACAACAGTTCACATATGTCACTATTAACTCATATGTATATATCACCACATTATTGTTCACATAAATCACCATTAACACATTTAACCACATAACAGTTCACATATATCACCATTAACCCATATAACCACACAACAGTTCACATATATCACTATTAACTCATATGTATATATCACCACATTATTGTTCACATAAATCACCATTAACACATTTAACCACACAACAGTTCACATAAATCACCATTAACCCATATAACCACACAACAGTTCACATATATCACTATTAACTCATATGTATATATAACCACACAACAGTTCATATATATACATATACATCATATTATTGTTCACAAATCACCATGAACACACACATAACCACACCATAGCTCACACATATCACTATTGACTAATATGTATATATCACATTATTGTTTACATAAATCACCATTAGCACATACATTTTGTATAACCACACCATAGCTCACACATATCACTATTGACTAATATGTATATATCACATTATTGTTTACATAAATCACCATTAACACATACATTTTGTATAACCACACCATAGCTCACACATATCACTATTGACTAATATGTATATATCACATTATTGTTTACATAAATCACCATTAACACATACATTTTGTATAACCACACCATAGCTCACACATATCACTATTGACTAATATGTATATATCACATTATTGTTTACATAAATCACCATTAACACATACATTTTGTATAACCACACCATAGTTCACATAAATCACTATTAACCCATATGTATATATAACCACACAACAGTTCATATATATACATATACATCACATTATTGTTCGCAAATCACCATTAACACATATAACCACACAACAGTTAACACATATCACTATTAACCCATATAACCACACAACAGTTCACATATATCACTATTAACTCATATGTATATATCACCACATTATTGTTCACATAAATCACCATTAACACATTTAACCACACAACAGTTCACATAAATCACCATTAACCCATATAACCACACAACAGTTCACATATATCACTATGAACTCATGTGTATATATCACCACATTATTGTTCACATAAATCACCATTAACACATTTAACCACACAACAGTTCACATAAATCACCATTAACCCATATAACCACACAACAGTTCACATATATCACTATTAACTCATATGTACATATCACCACATTATTGTTCACATGAATCACCATTAATCCATATAACCACACAACAGTTCACATATATCACTATTAACCCATATGTATATATAACCAAACAACAGTTCATATATATACATATACATCATATTATTGTTCACAAATCACCATGAACACACACATAACCACACCATAGCTCACACATATCACTATTGACTAATATGAATATATCACATTATTGTTTACATAAATCACCATTAACACATACATTTTGTATAACCACACCATAGCTCACATATATCACTATTAACTCATATGTATATATCACCACATTATTGTTCACAAATCACCATTAACACACATATAACCACACCATAGCTCACACATATCACTATTAACTCATATGTATATATCATCACATTATTGTTCGCAAATCACCATTAACACATATAACCACACAACAGTTAACACATATTACTATTAACTCATATATATATCACATTATTGTTCACATATATCACCATTACCACATATAACTGTGCAACAGTTCACATATATCACTATTAACTCATATGTATATATAACCACATAACAGTTCACATATATCACCACATTATTGTTCACATAAATCACCATTAACACATATAGCCACACCATAACTCACATATATCACTATTAACTCATATATATCACCACATTATTGTTCACATAAATCACCATTAACACATCTAACCACATAACAGTTCACATATATCACCATTAACCCATATAACCACACAACAGTTCACATATATCACTATTAACTCATATGTATATATCACCACATTGTTCATATAAATTACCATTAACACATTTAACCACATAACAGTTCACATATATCACCATTAACTCATATAACCACACAACAGTTCACATATATCACTATTAACTCATATGTATATATCACCACATTATTGTTCACATAAATCACCATTAACACATTTAACCACACAACAGTTCACATAAATCACCATCAACCCATATAACCACACAACAGTTCACATATATCACTATTAACTCATATGTATATATCACCACATTGTTCATATAAATCACCATTAACACATTTAACCACATAACAGTTCACATATATCACTATTAACTCATATGTATATATCTCTACATTATTGTTCACATAAATCACCATTAACACATATAGCCACACCATAGCTCACATATATCACTATTAACTCATATATATATATTACCACATTATTGTTCACATAAATCACCATTAACACATTTTAACCACACAACAGTCCACATATATCACTATTAACACATATAACCACACAAAAGCTCACATATATCACCATTAACACACATATAACCACACCATAGCTCACACATATCACTATTAACTCGTATATATATCACATTATTGTTCACATAAATCACCATTAACACATATAACCACACAATAGCTCACATATATCACTATTAACTCATACAGAATCACATGATAGCTCAATATATATCACCATTAACTCATATATAACAAAATTATAGCTCACATATATCAAAATTAACCATGCTATAGCTCACATAAATCAATGTTAACTCATAGTTCATGACATGATAGCTCAACATAGATCACTATTAAATATAGCTCACATATATTGGTGATATGTGCACATAACAGCACTATAACTCATGTATATCATCAAATTATAGTTAAAATGTATCACCAATAACTCAAATATAACCACATTGGTATAGCTCACATTTTACTATTACCTCATAAATTAACACAGTACACTTATAAAGCCCCTGGCTAAATGTATATATTCAAAGTGTAGGTTTACAAACTTAATTATTGTGGGTAATACTACATGTATGTATTCATAACGCGTGTTATACAAAATATATATATACAAAGTGTTTATTTAAATCATACTTTTCAGGTTTTTCAAAGATACATTTGGCAATTGTATCACTTGCATAACATACCCAGAACATGCTGACTGTCAAGCATGGACGACAAATACCCAGGCACCTAAAATAACTACTGGAAAACCTTTGCATCAATCAACGGGTACTCCTGAACTCCTACAAGTTAAAGTACACGATGAAGAAGAAGGTATTCATTTATTTCATTTATAAAAGTAAAAATTTTAATAAATAAATTATTAATAAATTATTTGATCTGATGATGATTATTTAATCACATTTGACCTATTTTTTATATTGTTTTATAGATGGCTTGGAGAAGAGCAAAGTATTTGGTTATGATGCTGGTCCACTTATACTGGCAGCTGTTGTGTTACCTAAAGTTGCTATTATATTATTAATAATACTACTAGTAGGTATTTCAGAATGGATATGGAGGCGGAAAAAACAAGAACAACAAAGAAAAAGGAGTGCTTCTCTCAGATCTTCCCAAACCGAAGTGTTTACAAATACTGATAAGCCTCACTCATCTAGTCAAAAAGGTGAAACAATTATTTGTGTCTATCTAAGTACTACACTTATAAAGCCACACATAAAAATTACGGCCTTAGGGGTACTTACTTATATGAGTACCAACAGGTTATGTTGAAAACATATGTTAAAGTTTTGTTAATCTGATCCCAGTTATGTCATTTAAATATTATATTCAGTCCAATATTCTTGTTAAATACTGTCTCTATATATATTGAATTCTGATTACGTTACTTTATTGAACTATATTCCATATACCTATCTTTTACAATGAATAAAAGATATTCTATTTCTTTCAGAGGAGATTGAGTTGGAAGAGATTGTATACAGTGATACCCAAGGATCATCAAGGTGAATGATATTTTGTTTTTAGGTCGTCTAAGGTATATTGTTGCAGTTATCCTTTCCAATCCCCAACTTTTAGTTTCCTCTCATTGATTTGACCGTGTAATGTTCTGTTGTTTTCTGTACTCTGTATCTTTTGTCATTTATATATGTTCTACATTTGTGTTCATGGATTTCTACTAACATAGAATTTATTAATGATGACTTTGATTTTGTATTGAGTGTCATATTCAGATATGATGGCAATGATATCATATAACAACGTCGCCCACTTAATAGTCTCATTATAATTCATGAAAGAAATTCAAATTTTGAGAACACACTAAAACAATATACAAAAATGATCTACTAACATTTTAACAATACACGGTAAAATCAGTGAGAGAAGTTAGTAAACCTTGAGGTGCATCCTACAAGTGATATCAGGTAAGAGTAAGCACACCCTAGTATATCCTGTTTCTTTGTTCATATCTTTATGGGACACAATCAAATAGTTAGAAAGTTATAATCTAGTGTAAGTACAGGCAAATTGCAAACATATAAACACACAAGATTTTAACTGAGGTAATGATCAAGGCAAAGGGTCTTGCCTCTGTAAGCTGATGTGTACCATAAATATCAGACAATCTTTCTTAGATTTATCCTTGTATAAATTGATATATCTATTTTATATCTGGCAAATATTTGTTTAACCCTTTCATCACTAAGGTACATTGTCACCTTTCACAAAATAGTTCCATGTACCATTTGTGCGTAATAATTAGGTCATTTGCATATCATTAAACATTTGAGCACCAAAGTAAACTTTTATCACCTTTCACAAAATAGTTCTTATGTACCATTTGTGCATATTAATTAGGTAATTTGCATACAATTAACACTTGTACTAATTAAAGTTGCATATTTGTTTCCCAAAGTTTTCAAAAAAATTTTGATGACATGCTAATGTATGTAAATTTTAGGAAGTTGTAGAAAAATACATATCTTACAGTGTATCAAATATTGTCCCAAAATGTAGGTGGGGAATATTTGGTGCTAATATGGTTAATGAAGTTTGCTTTTTAAATATTATTTTACTCTTATATTTAAGAATTGAAGAAATATAACTCATAGATCCTTTGTTCAATTAGATTAACTGAGGCTGCTCTGCCTAATGGTGCTATCAAACTTGAAGTACATGAGAATGACAATAAAGACATAAAAAGTCCTGTAACAAAGAAAAATAAGAGACACTTTTCAGGATGCAGCATGACTACACAGGAAGAAGATGAAGATGAAAAATACAAACTAATTCATCATGATTATGATGAAGATGATGACCCTTTTGAACCCATTGCCAAATCTAATACAGAGTACAAGCTTGAAGATAATGAGGATGAACTCAAGGCAAGTTTTATTAAACAAACCATGCAGTCCCCGTTAGTTATCGAATTTAAGATATATAGTTTTGTTTATAGTAATATAGCTGGAATATAAACATGTCAGGAATACGATTATGATGATTGTTTAACATTAAAATGATTGACATTTGTATCTGATCGTCAAACGAATATTGAGAGATATTGCTCTGGAACAGCATGAATTAAAACAAAATCAGCCATTTTGAATACATGTATAACGAATATACATAAAATTTTAACATAGTCAGTTGAAGCATGTCAGAGATATGGCTCTATGGAACAAAATGGCCACTCTTCATCCATACAGAATCTGGTCTAAAAAATGAAATAACGTGCATCAGGAACCCGCAATGTCTGATGTATGTACCAAGTTTGAAAAAATCCATCCATAAATGCCAAAAATGCTTGATATTTGATGATTTTTTAGCACAAAAATGGCCACTTTTAATAGGATCGTCAAACCAATATATCTATATATCTAAAACATGATGTATAATGAATATTTCAAATTTGAACACAATCAGTCATAGCAAGTCAGTCGGCCATTTTGAATTTTATCTGAAAAACAAAATGATGTGCATCAAGGTCCTATAACGTCCAACGTATATACTATGTTCGAACAAAATTCATCTGTAAACAGCCGAGAAATGCTTGATTTTGATGATTTTTAGCATAGAAATGGCCACCCACCATTCGGCCGTTTTTGATAGGATCAATATATCTATATATCTAAGACATGATGTATAATGAATATTTCAAATTTGAACACAATCAGTTACAGCAAGTCAGAGATATGGCACTAGAACCACATTTATTAAAACAAAATGGCCGCGAGTCAGCCATTTTGAATCTTATCTGAAAACAAATGATGCGTAAACAGCCGTGAAATGCTTGATTTTGATGATTTTTAGAACAAAAATGGCCGCCATTCGGCCATCTTGAAACAGATCGTGAAACAAATTGATGTGCATATGTATAATATCATGTATGATGTGTGTGTGAAGTTTGATTGTGACGGAAGCACGGACGCACGGAGGTAAAAAAAATAAGTCTCCGTTTTCGGACTGCGTCCGAACGGGGACTAACAAATACAATTGATGAGTGTTGATGAGTATATTATATTAAATACAGTGAAACCAAATTCATTTCTCACAGCATTAATTTATTCATGTATTATTGATGTTTTGCTTCAGAAGAAGGAAAAACTTTGGAAAACTTTCAGAGCTAAAGATATAGGAAAAGGTATGTGGGATATGTCATTGAATTATTAAGCAATTGAAGCAAGTATAATGGCTGGATGAATTGTATTACATTTTTGATGTCTGTTGCCTAATATTAGAGTGCCCTCCAAAAACCAAGAACTTATATGTGTACTTGTAATTTCTTGTACCATAACTATAGTCAATTTATTCAGTTATCGTACTTGGAAGTATTTGTGTGAAATCGAACATTTTGTATTTTTTCTTTCCATAGACAAACCAATTACTGATTTACTAGGAGACAACAATATAATGTTTCATATAAATGGGATGCTTACTCCACCTATTGTAAACTCCACCAACACGATAGCTTACCAACGGGAACTCGCTGATGTTGTCCATGTGCCATACAGAAATACAGTTAATAGTGCAAGAGATGTTCTTGATTATATGAAAACCACCTCACAACGCTATATTACATCATTGCTAGAAGCATTGCAGGAAATCAAAAGACATGACATTTTTGACTTGCTTGTCAATTGGGTTTTTGAAAAATACAGCCAAGATGAGGACATCGATATTGTTTGACTCTGTAGTTATTGAAGATGTTGAGTAATAAGAGCAATATTATTACCTGACATTAAACATTTACTTTTCTTACAGTATATTTACGAAAATGATTTTATAATAGTTTTTTATTCAAAATCAACAGAACATTTACCAGGTAATATTGATGTTTAAAGACATGTAAATGTAGTTAATCATCACTTTGAGTTGATTCCCTGAATGAGTGACATAGCCTGCTCTACATAATATATACATTATATGGGAAATATTTTGATGTAATAGATTATGTGTTCCTTCCAATACACTGGATTGGCATTCCCAGGGCTGGAAACCTCATAACAATATATATTTATTTAGAGATATAGTTCTAAATTTACTCAACCCACAAGTATATTCAGTCCTAATTTCTTCAAAATACATATTGGCCTGCAATTTGACCGTTGAGGTCACACACTTAGTATTGTTGTTATACATGTAACCTTTGCTAATGTAATTTCATTAGTTACAATCAAGTGATATGATTGGTTAATTCTAAGTTATTTAATTATTTACTTCCAAATCATACTTGTAGGATGTATGATTTGCGAAATATTTTATTGTTTAACCTGAATGAATGGTAAACTAATCAGCATGCATCTGTGCATTAATAATGATTCAAATAATGACTGTATATCATATCATACATTGGCATTTAATTTAATATTTAGATCGTTTTGACATATTTCATTATTTTTGGTGACAAGTCAGTAATTCTCACAACTACAATGTAGTTATACACTTATTTGTTAAAGGCATTATTATTTGTTTGTAACAATTTCTACTAATTTATGCGATGTGTGCCACTTTATATTCCATTATTTATATAAAGACACATTTATATATTTATAAATATATAAATGTATATTTTTCTATGTGAAAGTTTACATTTACTCTTTGATACATTTACAATTTTTTTTTCTTACTAATTTTTTGAATTTATTGATTGACCCCTTCATCTTTTATGAATTAAAGGATAATGGCACATGTTAATTGTAAATAATCAGATATTCAATATTGTATATATGCTAATAATGTATATAGCAAATTAATATGTTTATATATTTTCATCTTTTCATATTTATAAATGATATGATAAGATATGGTTTTTAAAAAAGTGATTATACTCAATTTTTATACTCATCTATTTTGCATAATCTAGAATGCAGGGATTGAATCTCAATATTACTGTGTAAAATATTTTACAATTTTTAAAATTGTATATGACCTAACTGTCATTTGAACTAAAATCAAATTAATGTCTTCAGCTCAATCATGTTCTCACTAATTGATGAAACAGGTCGCCAAAATAAGGATTTGCTCAAAAAACTGTGTGGTGATAACTTGTACTAATACGAAATATAATCTTCTGTAAATATAAAAATACTGTAAATAAAATAATGAAATGTTTTTTTATTTTCATATATTGACTTATTTATTTTTTGAAACTGTGACTGTTTATCGTGTAGATTTGCAGAGACAATAGATTTGCGTTGTATATTGGCATAAAACCAGCAGCTTATACATACAGATTTGCATTGTAAGAATATTATTACATCTATCATGTGTAGTGACCAAATTAAAATGTGTTGATGATGTAAAAAAGACATCAAGCGCACATTGACACTTTATAACATGGTTAGTATTTGAGTGTGATGTGTTCATGAAATGTATGCAATGTAACTGTTTACAATTTTGACAACACTGACCGAATACTAATAAGCAGGTAGGAATAAAAATGTCGAGCTACAATTACTTGTAACCAGGAAAAAAAAACAGATATGAGAACACTTACTTTCTCAAAAAACAACAACAACAATTTCATAAATTTATCTGCGGTCCTCGGAGACCGAATAACTCGCTGCTTAACTATGTTAAGCCACCAATTTGGGAGTTTACGCTCCTTCAATGATAACCTGGTAAGATCAGTCGGTAGATTGGCTACTCCACAGCATGGTTGATAAGAAGGAATGTGATTTGGTGTAGGTAATAACGCGAGTTAGTGTTTTCATGGTTGTACACGCTACAGTGGTAATAAACTATCCAACTATCATCATGGAAAAAACAACGGTTAGATTGTAAAATTTAGCATTCACCTAATTTGCGCCAAACTAAGATAAATTTACATAAGTAGACATGTATTGCATTAGCTCATTAATAATTCAATAAATGAAAAACACAAAACTTTATATTAACTCAATTGTATCGAAAGTGGTATATCATCAGCAAATGTGCAACACTCAAATTTAAACTAGATTTCATAATCGAAAATTTGTATTATTCTCACTTTGCATAAAATTCTATCAATTTGTAAGTAAATTCATAGGTGGCATTCATCGGTTGGTGTGATGTATACATAATTGCAGACGTGTTGATACATATGATGTATGATTGTATTTTTCATAGACAATGTTCACTGTAACAGGGAAAATTGCGGTAGGTGTATACACCAAAGATGGGGTGTTGTAGCTACAGCATACCACATTTCGAATATGAGAATATATTTAACCAGAAATTATTTCAGTTTAGTGCAGCTAATGTGTTGATTGATTGTCTATGGATTAATTCCATGAATTATATTATATTGTATTTGTTCTAATAGAAACGCATATAAACTAAATATAGCATTCTCTATAAAATAAATTATTAAAATATTACTTATTTTTACCATAGAATCAATTTCTCAACCTGCGCTATTAATAGAGAAAATATGATAAAAATATATAATTTTTATGACATAAATGTTTCTCCATACTACAAGGTTAATATAACAGCATAATCCACAATAGGTGAGATGTATTGCATGATGTGTAAATCACTCATCTGTAGTGACAGGAACATCTATCTCAATGTGTTCAGTAACTGATCTCCCAAACAGTTTCTCAAAATATTTAGGTTTTTTTTTTTTAGTTTTTTTTTTAAATCTAATTAGCCAATCACGGATTGAAGTAGAACAGATTCAAAAGAATAACAAATCATGGTTATTGTAAATTGTACTAAAACTAATCAAATGCCGACAAAATTCTACATAAAATTTAATAGAGAAGGAACACAACTTACGTTATAGGTCAAAAGGTTAGAAAATCATGGTTCTAACAAAACGTGTGATAAGTATTTAATATATACTTTCTGGTATTGGTAGGGGCACAATTTATGTCATCGATTTTGGAAAATTGATTGAACAAAACGTTGAACTAAATATGAACATTATGTTAATATTTTTGTCAACTGATGTAGGGAAATCTTTCAAAAGTCTATAGAAATTTTACATATCATATCATTACGTAATCACAATTACATAGATTTTGATAACCTATCTACAGAACGAATGACGACCATTGCCATATCCCGACTCAAGGGAGGTATTATATCCACGGATAAGTTTTACATTTAATGCACGAATAGGCAATTTTTAGTAATAGTGTGTCTAGTGAAATACCAACAAGTCACACGCCGAATGAGTGCGTATCACACGCTACCTATTCGAAATGGGAGAAGGAAAAGTAAATAAAATAAGATTGACGACTCCAATTGTTAGACATTTTAAATTATACATAGATTTCAAAATATACAATATGGTTCACTAATTTGCAGTTCACGATCCACCTATTGGTCATCGTCCGCCTGCACGGTGTTGTTCCGTTCGGACACAGTCCCTCTCTCACGTGATAGAGGGACTGTGGTTCGGATATTCCTCCCTCTATAGCGGAGTGCTTCGCCGGAACATTCACCTTGAAAATTCAAGATGCCTATTGGTATTCAGAAACGTACCTACACTTTATGATTTTTTTTTAAATTATGTGTTTGATTAATTCCCACAATTGCAAATTGTTAAATTGAGAGAATAAATGTGTAGACAAATATTGGCCATATATCTGTGAGTACCTGTCGTTTAATTAATTTCCACCTTTACAATTTTGTTAAATTGAGAGAATAAATGTCTCAACAAATATTTAATACTTATTTTGGTGTAGAAAAGTCGCGTTTAATTAACTTCCACCATTACAAGAAGTTAAATTGTGAAAATAAATATGTGGACACATATTTGAGACTTATTTTGGTGTAGACAACTCGCATTTAATTAATTCCATTACAAGTTTTTAAATTGAGAGAATAAATGTATGGACAAATATTTGAGACTTATTTTGGTGTAGAAAAGTCGCGTTTATACTTCCACCATTACAAGTTGTTAAATTGGGAAAATAAATGTGTGAACAAATATTTGAAAATTATTTTGGTGTAAGAACTTGTGTTTGATCAACTTCCACCGTTGCAAGTTGTTAAAATAATGAAATAAATATACTGGTATCTTTGGATATTTGATTTAATTAACAAAATGTTAACTGCTGACTTCGAACCCACAGACAACATTCCGCAGACACCGTATAAATACCACAACACCACAGAAGATATTCGTCTATAGCCTGAATTGTTTTCGTGATATAGGAACGCCATCGACACTTTAACAAAACTTACCTTGACTTGGCTCTTCGGTTTATCTCTTGTCACAATTTGGAAACTGTTGAACAAATTGCGCGTCGTCCAGTTTAAGCCGTAAGTTATTTTATTATTTATTCATTCAGTTTTGCATGGTGGAGATTCGTGAGATTCATTATTTTTTCGCGACGTTCTTTGTTTACTTCTTATGGTTTGAGGGTTTTCAGTTTTCACGGTAGCTCTGAGCGGAACTCGAACACACTGCCTTTTCAAGCTAATTTTGTTTTATCTCGATGGCACGCTTGTGTACCACGCACAACGTTGGTCGATGAGTGGTGTTCATTTTGCTAACCATTTCAATGTTCCGATGAGTTGAACGGAAAAAGCCAAAACGATTGCTGGTTTCCGATTGCTTCAGCTAGGATTTATTACCGTTATAATCATTATATTGTCACGTGATTTGTTCCACCTTTCGTGTAATGTCTTAAGTTTCTTTATTGTAATTTGTATATACCAATTCGCATATACCGAGGAAACGACCCCAATTA